AAAAAAAAAAAGAAAAAGAAAAAAAGTCAAAAGCTGCTGAACAGAGGCCAAACTTAAATCCAGTAAGCGTTTAGATTTTTATGGGCAGAGTGAAAGAACTTAATGGCACCGTGTACAACAGTGAGAACCATGTGGACCTGTACATACTCTCAACATCACCAGAAGGGCACAGTCAGGAAATCCGTCAAATGAAACAGATTAAGGCTTTAATGTTTTGTTGTTGTTGTTTTTTTAAATATATACACTAACTGTTTATACTTCTATTATAAAAATTCTAACCGCTATAACCAAAGAATTTCATATATAAGAGATAAATAAAGTATTTCTTCTTTTATTTCCATTACCATGTGATCTCCTAGCTTGTTTGTACTTCACTGTTGACTTAAAATAAGATGATATTCAGGTAAACAGGTCAGGCTGTAAAGATTGAAAACTGAATCTGCTCGACTGTAAAGTTCAGACAATGTCAGACTGAAGATGGAGACGAAAACTGAGGATGGTCCTGTCTGACATCAGGCAGAAATATGACAGCAAGTTACAAGACAGTAAAAATGATGAAAAATCAGCTATTTAATTTAGTAAAATCAGTAATTCAATCAAATGCAAATTCACACAAGCACAACAACCACTTGCAGCTTTGACACTGGCCCTGCTGACCTAACAGCTTTGTGATATCATCAACTTCTCGTTGCCATTGCTGTCATATGGTATTGGACTACAGATGTGTGTATAATCTTCAAATTTTGGATCTTACCACCAGCCAGCATGGCAGTGAGGACTATGCCACAAGCCCAGATATCTGCAGGCTGAGCTCTGTACTCTGTTTGGCTCAGAAGCTCCGGAGCCACGTAGGGAAGAGTCCCACACAATCGATTCAGACGGCGCTCTCGGCCTTTAAAGCGAAACATGGTCGCCAGTCCAAAATCTGTCAGCTTCAGGTTATCTGAAGGTAAAAAAATAAAATAAAAAAATCAACCCCAGAGGGCAGTGGTTATAAGAAATAAAAGAGAATCCTAAAAAGAGAATCCCTCAATAAAGATTGCATTTCCTCACCTTTGTCATCCAGCAAAATGTTCTCTGGCTTTATGTCTCTATGTGTGATGCCAAAATCATGGAGGTACTCCTAGAAAAGGTCAAATAAAAAAAACTTAAAAAAGAGAATAACAGCAGGAAAATATGCAGGAAGTCACATAAACACAAAGATGTTCTTCACTCACCACAGCTGCTATTAGCTGCTGGAAAAATCTATGAGCATCCTTTTCAGCCATCCCTACATCGGGCTCTAAAGAGAGCGTAAAAGAAGAAAGAGTAAGCCTGAAATCAAATACTTGCAAAGAATGATTACTGAAAACTCCAGACGCATTTCAGCTAAGTTGAATT